TATTCAATGATCAAGATTGATAAAAATAAATAAAATAAAAAAATATGTTGGTCCTATGTGTATTCAAAGTTAGTGGATGGATCTTACAAAATATCATGTCACTATCTGGCTACTGTTATATTTAATATTACGTTCATAATTAGATAGTTAAGGTTATAATAGATGGTTTTTAAGAAATTATACAAAAAATACATAATAAAATAAGACTAACCCGCCACACATTTCCCGCTACTCGCGTGCATTCCGCTGTGTGCAAATTCAGTTTTTGTTGTTGTAAAGATGAATCCTGAGTTAGCAATTTTGTTTTTCATTATTCTAAACTTATTCAATGAGCTCGAGAGAGACGTGCACGAGTGGTCCTTCTGCGCACCAACAATGTAAGTTACGTTTTTTATACGAGATTATACTGTTTTGACAGTCAAAAAGGGTTAGCATGAAATTGTTACAGATGTACTACACATAACAAAGACCAATGGTGCTAAAGTTAAAACGTTTTCCTTTGTTTTAATAGAGCTAGTGTAACCCTACGGTGGTAATTCTGCTAGTAGGCAGGCTAATAATCTATGGTAGGCGTTATCAAAAATCTAGGTACGATGAAGAGGTTGGTGTTGTACTAATCATAAGGTCAGAAGACCATTCCACTCCGAATGAAGCACAGGACAACAGATTAAAAAGTTAAGTAATGTGGGTCTTATTCAAATGTTTCCTTATTTCCTTATCCAAAATTCAATATTTAGTTCAGAACACAAAAATATGACATTTGGTGTACAACTCGGCCACACATTCTTTTGAGATCTCATGAACCAAAAAAAAACAAAAAGAAAATCTGTCAAAATATAGTTACTCTTGAGTGCACTCAAATTTTAATTGTCCAACCACCCCTTACTTAGCGTCCATATCACACAACCCGATTGGACCGTTGCAGCGCTGTTAGATGAGGCAGTGGACCAGGGAACCAGGCACCAGGGCGAACAGAGAGGGATCCAGCTTCAGCGGAAGGAACACCAGGACCAGAAGAAGCCTCTAAAAAAACCAGTCTACACAAAATGTGCAGAAAATTAACTTATGTTCAAATAAATGTCTTTGTTCTAATCTTTCACTACTTAAAAGTCCATATTTTCAATAATACAACTTAAATGTTATAACCTTTAAACTGGAATTGGGAAACAAAAATTAAAGTATATCACATTAAATCAAAATTGGCATTCTTTTCACAAAACAAAATCATTTTCCTTCAAAATGCATTCATTAGTGTACAAAAATACAACAAAATGTACCTGTGGGGTAACATCCACTGCTATTGTAGATAGCCAGACTGGTTTTTTATCCAATGTAATCCACTGCAACGTTGAAATGTATATTTTTAAGTCATTTCACAATTTTAGCTTCAAGCTAATCAACACAAAATGATAGTTTTCACTCACCGAGATAACTTTGTTTTGTAACAGATGTGGTCTAACTTTCTATATTTTTTCAACCTCAAGGATATGTTTTGTTTTCTAAATCAATCTCAAATCTTAATATATATTTCTGCTCTGGGTCACGTTTTTCAGGCTTTTGCTTATGTGCTCAAAAACAAGATGGATGCCAGTGAACAGCAGAAGAAGAATGTTTTTTTGGTGCGCTGCCACCTAGTGGCGAACTCGATATTGCACTTTACTTTAGTTCTAAATGTTTGCATTACAGTTCGGTTCAGGACTTTATTGAGGGCAAAATTGACAGGGTTACACTAGCATTACACATAATTCAATGAATAGTCATCAAAAACATTGCAACAATACTCTTTACCAATAGAGGTCACCACTGACCACGTTTTAACTAATGATCTTAACCTATTGCATATACAAAATGATTATATTATACATACATTATGTACATACATTATTTATAAAGAGTAGTTACAAAGTCTGGAATGACACATTCACTTTTTGTATTTGTTTTTCCAACAGGATAGGAGTCCTTACTGCAGGGTAAACCTGAGGGTGCCAGTGCTGGACAGTTTTTTAAATGATGGAGATTTGCGTCCAGATTATCGGCTGAGCAGGGACTCGTTTGGTGCTGAACCTCCTGCACCAGGACCGGCACCAGGACCGGCACCATGGATGGGGTGCAGAGATTGAGGTCCTGGTCTTCCTCTTCTGGCTGGATAGTGGGGCGTCATACCGGGTGGTGTCCCGGGTCTTTGGGATGCCCAGATCCACCGTCCACTTCATCGTCCACCGGGTCACTGGGGAGGTGGTGGCACTACGCCACCGAGTCATCCACCTCCCAAACCCTGAAGACCTGCAGACAGTGACCCGGGGGTTTGCACGGCTGGCGAGGAGCGAGGTCTTCACAAGAGCTGCTGGGGCAATAGATGGCTGTCACGTCGCGATGAAGCCTCCAGGCGGCCCTGATGGTCAATGCTTCCAGAATAGGAAACTTTTCCCAAGCATAATTCTTCTAGCTCTGTGTGACCATCAGGGCCGCTTCATGGACGTCTACGTGGGCTGGCCTGGGTCAGTCCACGACTCCAGGGTCCTCCGCTACAGAGGGCTGTATCCTCCTCTAGGGCACTTCCTCTTGGCGGATGGAGGGTATCCCTGCCTCCAGCGTCCTCTCCCCCTCATCACTCCCTACAAGCAGCCGGTGCAGGGTGTGGTGGCCCAGTGCAGGGCGTGGCGGCCCGGTGCAGGGCGTGGCGGCCCGGCGCAGGTGTGGCGGCCTGGTGCAGGGCGTGGCGGCCCGGCGCAGGTGTGGCGGCCTGGTGCAGGGCGTGGCGGCCCGGCGCAAGGCGTGGCGGCCCGGCGCAGGTGTGGCGGCCTGGTGCAGGGCGTGGCGGCCCGGCGCAAGGCGTGGCGGCCCGGTGCAGGGCGTGGCGGCCCGGCGCAGGGCGTGGCGGCCCGGCGCAGGGCGTGGCGGCCCGGTGCAGGGCGTGGCGGCCCGGCGCTTCAACGCTCATCATTCCAGGGCACGCTCCATTATTGAGCGTGCCTTTGGAATGATGAAGACGAGGTTCCGGGCCATCTTCTTTCACACCCTGGAGGTGCACCACACCTTTGCACCAAATGTAAGTGATAACCATGTTTGCAAACTTTCAAACATTTTCAACTTCCTGTAATTCACTTCAAAATACAGTATTTATCATAATACTTATGCTTATGTCTTTATCAATGTAATTAATACTGCAGCTTTTTCAGGTCATCGCCGCTTGTGCTGTCCTTCACAACATCTGCCTTGGGGTTGGAGATGTTGTGGCCCCAGAGGACAGCCCAGAGGACAGCCCAGAGGACAGCCCAGAGGACAGCCCAGAGGACAGGCCAGAGGACAACACAGAGGACAGCCCAGAGGACAGCCCAGAGGACAGGCCAGAGGACAACACAGAGGACAGCCCAGAGGACAGCCCAGAGGACAGCCCAGAGGACAGGCCAGAGGACAACACAGAGGACAGCCCAGAGGACAGCCCAGAGGACAGCCCAGAGGACAGGCCAGAGGACAACACAGAGGACAGGCCAGAGGACAGCCCAGAGGACAGGCCAGAGGACAGGCCAGAGGACAGCCCAGAGGACAGCCCAGAGGACAGGCCAGAGGACAGGCCAGAGGACAGCCCAGAGGACAGCCCAGAGGACAACACAGAGGACAGGCCAGAGGACAGCCCAGAGGACAGCCCAGAGGACAGGCCAGAGGACAGGCCAGAGGACAGCCCAGAGGACAGCCCAGAGGACAACACAGAGGACAGGCCAGAGGACAGCCCAGAGGACAGCCCAGAGGACAGCCCAGAGGACAGCCCAGAGGACAGCCCAGAGGACAGCCCAGAGGACAACACAGAGGACAGGCCAGAGGACAGCCCAGAGGACAGCCCAGAGGACAGCCCAGAGGACAGGCCAGAGGACAACACAGAGGACAGGCCAGAGGACAGCCCAGAGGACAGCCCAGAGGACAACACAGAGGACAGGCCAGAGGACAGCCCAGAGGACAGGCCAGAGGACAGCCCAGAGGACAGGCCAGAGGACAGCCCAGAGGACAGCCCAGAGGACAACACAGAGGACAACACAGAGGACAACACAGAGGACAGCCCAGAGGACAGCCCAGAGGAGGATGAGGGGGAGGAGGACACCGTCTCAGCAGCGCACCGTCTGTCTGCTGAGATGTCTGCCCTGGAGGAGGTGCAAATGGACACTTAATTACTTATGTAAATATGTGTGAAGTTGCCCAAACAAATCCACAGACAAGTCACTTTGTCACACATCCATTCACTTGTGTGTATACATTTTTTTTAAACAAATGCGAATCTTTTGGACATGGCAGCCATCTATTGCCCCAGCCAGCCGTGCAAACCCAACAAATGGACGATGAAGTGGACACGGTATGATGCCTCACTCGCCAGAAGAGGAAGACCAGGACCCTGGTCTCTGCACACATCCATGTTGCTGGTCCTGGAGAATGGGAAACACTCCAGTCCCTGCTTAGCCACACAGCACTGGCACTCTCAGGTTTATCCTGTATGGCTTGTTAATAGTTTTATTTTATTGTTTGTTGAATAAATGGTTACATTGATTTTCTTGTGCTATATTTTTGATTCCACAAAATAATACTTGAGCTCTCGAACTGCTTCACACATTTACCAGGGGTTTTTTGTCCCATCAAACAAGTGTATAAAATCTGTGTATATACAAAATATAGAAATTACATAAAGAAATTAACCAATCATACACACCTTCAAGGGGAAATGTAAAGCCACTGTTGGGTAGACAAACACACATTTGTTTTTAAAATCCCCAACACATCAGAGCTGTAGTTTGCTAAATGTTCTCAGGTTGAAAGCCTTAGATATGGCCCCACCAAATTCACTCTGAGAAAGTCCCAAAGTAAATAGATATTAATGTATTTAACTTACTTACGGCTTAATCTATTAATTGACCTTGATCTATATCATTTCAAATGTATGTTATACTTTTATGGGCTTTTTCGAAATGTAAATCAAACAAAAATAGTTGATTTTTATTTGTTTTTATTTTCAATCAGCTTTTCGAGGAGACCAAACTGTCAAAATTGGCACTCCTCTGCTGTGCCCGCCGCTCATCCTCCTCCCTCTGCTGTGCCCGCCGCTCATCCTCCTCCCTCTGCTGTGCCCGCCGCTCATCCTCCTCCCTCTGCTGTGCCCGCCGCTCATCCTCCTCCCTCTGCTGTGCCCGCCGCTCATCCTCCTCCCTCTGCTGTGCCCGCCGCTCATCCTCCTCCCTCTGCTGTGCCCGCCGCTCATCCTCCTCCCTCTGCTGTGCCCGCCGCTCATCCTCCTCCCTCTGCTGTGCCCGCCGCTCATCCTCCTCCCTCTGCTGTGCCCGCCGCTCATCCTCCTCCCTCTGCATCCTCAGATCCTCCCTGTACAGCTCCACCAGCTCGCTCTCCTTCTTCCTCTTCCTTCCCGTTCCTCTCTGCTGCTCCGCCTCTGGCTCTTCCTCCTCCTGCTCCGGCTCCTGCTCTCTGGCCTGGCTTGGCCCTGGTCTGGCATCAGGGATGAGGGGATTAGGACAGGAGGGTTGATGGACGGCTTCTGCCCGACACCTCATCCATGAGGCCAAACCAGGGCCAAGTCCCAGCAGTGGGGTTCCCCTCCACGCCCTGTCCTGTTCCAGGGCATTTACAGTCCTTTACACAAGTAATATATGTGGAGTCATGATGGGCTCATGTCGGCACAGGCAGACACACACACACACATGCAAACACACACACACACACATGCAGACACACACACACACACATGCAGACACACTCGCAGACACACTCACACACATGCAGACACACTCACACACACACACACTCACACACACGTGACAAACTCACAAAAACAAGATTGATTTTCATACTTTATACTTTTTTTTCAAATTGTCCCACTTCTTACGGGCCTGCAGGGGCGTGACCACCTCCTGCAGGGGCGTGGCCACCTCCTGCAGGGGCGTGGCCACCTCTTGCAGGGGCGTGGCCACCTCCTGCAGGGGCGTGGCCACCTCCTGCAGGGGCGTGGCCACCCCCTGCAGGGGCGTGACCACCTCCTGCAGGGGCGTGGCCACCTCCTGCAGGGGCGTGGCCACCTCCTGCAGGTCAAGCTTTTCCAGGATAGTCCTATAGAAAAGACAGAAACAATAAAATAAAGAAACAGAAAAACTTACTTTATGTGTTAGAGAATTCCTGAAATTATTGATCATGTTAATGCTGAAAACAATAGTTATACGTTTCTCATTTTTGTTCTTTTGTTATGATTGATATACTCTTCTACAACTTCATTATAGATTTTTAATAATGATGACTGTTGTATTTGAGAATAGCACCAGCTTGTCTAAACCCTTGTATACCCATGTATATATTAAGTATTAAACTCACATTAAGAACAAAATATGCAGTCCTAAAGTCAATTCCAGATAACTTAAATTAATCATAAGCTAAACAGTGACATTTCTCAAACAGCTCTTACCTCCGGGACGTGCTGGCGGAGAACGTCGCCCCAGTAAAGAGGACGTCGTTCTCCGCCCTCACTCTTATGAAGGTCTCCGTCATCTCCTTCGTCCCTATGAACAAAATAAAACGTTAAAACTACATAAAGGAATAAAATATAACTAACTGTGACAATACTAATTTAGTTACAGTTACAACTAAGCTATCATATGCCACAGAAGAAAACACTCTAAAACAAATGAAATAGCGCAATTCGTCGCTTAAAATTCAAATAATATTTCTTTATAAGTGTTATTAGTCATGTAAGAATATTATAATATGAAATATACTTACATTTATACACGACAGTGGGGACAGGGGTAGCTGCTGCTGGTGCCTCCATACTGAAAATAAAACCCCGCGAACTCAACGCGGGGAAGGCAGCGAAGCATACATCAGATGCATCCTTCATATCTGCTCCAAAAGTGGCCGTTTCCATAGAGACGAAGTCACGATGCCTACGCTGGCGAGCTCGCCAAGTGGTTTTGGACACCCCTGCAATAGCCGTCGCATGAGGAAGTGACATCACGAGCCTACATATCCACCCTACGCGGCCTGATGCCTAGCGTTTTGGACACAGCCTATATCTTACTTACACTTACATATACAGTTTTATACTAGCTAGCTTTATTATGCTAAAGCTACAGATTTTATACTAGCTTCTTTATTATGCTAATGGTAGACAAACAGTCATAATGACTGCTGAATGTTCACAGGTTTTAAACAGTCTATACTGTATATAGTAGAAAGAGGCTAAGGCTGGGGATTAGCTCTGCTCAGTAAAATGACTGGAGTCCAAATGTCAGAGTAAAACATCAGTCTCTCAGAGCCACAGATGCTCCGACTGGAGAGAAACAGACTCTACCTAGTTCAAAAACACAGTCACAATAAGAAGAGTCAATGAGTGCACCCCCTATTTCCCAGAATGCACCACTGTATTTTACAGAATGTAGAATCTGAAAACAGTGTTTCTCTGAACCTGCTTTAACCCAGACTGAGGCATAACCCTGACATGTTGGGGCTAATCAACTCCTTTTAGACAAAAAGCAGCCAGTCTTTTAGCTCCTGCTTGACGTTCAGGCCACCCCTCCCATTCCTACGCTTTGGTTCATTCTCACCTCATGGGAACCCCGCAGTGGGAACCATCATCTGAAAGAGGACTGGGACTATTTAGAGGAGAACGCTACAAGGTGAGTGTGTCTGAATTCATTGAGAATAACATTTGTCTTACATTGTCTTGGTTGATATGAACTCTGAATTTCACTGTGACTGATGAGTTCAAATTCCCTCATTATATCAGACATGTTTGGAAAACATGTGTCCCCAGCAGCACAACTGCCTGCTAGCATGTTAGCAAGGTCTGCTAGCATGTTAGCAAAGTCTGCTAGCATGTTAGCAAAGTCTGCTAGCATATTAGCAAGGTGTGCAAGCGTGTTAGCAAGGTCTGCTAGCATGTTAGCAAGGTCTGCTAGCATGTTAGCAAGGTCTGCTAGCACGTTAGCAATGAGCGGACAAAGTCTTGTCCGCTCTTCCTCCTTGTAGCTACAACACGCCGTACGCCACGTGCATGACTGTAGGAGCACTCCATAATGAGCCCTGCTATATGTGGATAATGTACATATGTGTGTCTGTGTGTGGATAGTTTAGAACAGCCCGTTTCTGCTACACATAGTTTGCCTTTTAATGATAAAGTTCCACATGTAACACCATTATAGAGTTACAGCGCCCCCTCCTGGGCTATGGTTGTAATGTCTGATGAAGGGCCTCAGCCTGAAACAATACTCGCACTTCCACCCTCACGCCCGTCATTTGCGCGTTCCCGATGATGGGTGCGAGTGCGTAGGGTGTCCCAATAGGCTCTATGCACGCACCACTTCCACGTTTTAGTTATAACCCCACCTGACTTCCTGTGCGCGGGAACGGCTTGAGTTTCACTGGAGTTCAGATGTTTACACGAGTTTCCCAAATAATGCTCAAACGGGAATAACACTGTGAGGATACTGGGCATTTTTGGGACACAGCAGTGCTCTTTGATTGTGCTTTTATAAAGTTAACTAATCTCTCTGAGTGGCCACAGTCAAAGCTATTGGAGGATCTTGGAGTGACATCGTTGTTTACAGTGTTTCTGCTCCGGTCACGTGACTGTGGCGCTACAGCAGAGATGGCTCCTGGATGCTACAGAGTTAACTATATTTAGGCATTTTTAGAGAGATTCTACGAAATCAAATGGTCCGTTCCTGTTGTGTGGTCGGTTGTACGGCCCGCTGGGGACAGATAAAGTTTTTTTCTAAAAGTGGTTGCACTTTTACGCTGTTACTTACGGTAAATGGGGGGATGAGGGGATAAAAATTCATAAACAAATTTTTAAGTTTTGCAACTACTTTCACTGCGCACTTGTTCATTCATTCATTCATTCATGAATGATGATTCATTTTAAACATTGCATTTTGGTTGCTCATCCCTGCGGCTTCATGGTCCACCTTTACCGTAAGTAACAGCAAAAAGGAGCAACCCGCTTTTAATGCGTGGGGAAATGCTGGGCCACTATACCGCAGTGAAAAACGCGAGAAATGGATTTACACCACGGACCCTTCTTGAGTGAAGGGTCCCGGGTTTTCTATGAAATAAGAATAAATGTCTCTGAGTCTCATTCCCAGCAGATCGGTGCCAAGACAGAGTCTGACCAATGTTTCTCTCGTCATCCCAGGGTCATCTGGGCTTTGGACTGGTTCAGTTCAGTCTCATATACTTCTTTTTACCTTGTCTTTATATCTCCTCTGGTCTTCTTGCCTTAAAGTGCTTATACACAGTGCTATCGTTAAAGTGCTTATACACAGTGCTATCGTTAAAGTGCTTATACACAGTGCTATCGTTAAAGTGCTTATACACAGTACTAGTGTTAAAGTGCTTATATACAGTGCTGTTGTTAAAGTGCTTATATACAGTGCTATCGTTAAAGTGCTTATATACAGATGCATGAGTCATGCAGAGGGTGTTATGCAGAGGGTGTCATGCAGAGGGTGTCACGCAGAGGGTGTCAGGCAGAGGGTGTCACGCAGAGGGTGTCACGCAGAGGGTGTCACGCAGAGGGTGTCACGCAGAGGGTGTCAGGCAGAGGGTGTCACGCAGAGGGTGTCAGGCAGAGGGTGTCACGCAGAGGGTGTCATGCAGAGGGTGTCATGCAGAGGGTGTCATGCAGAGGGTGTCAGGCAGAGGGTGTCACGCAGAGGGTGTCAGGGTGTCATGCAGAGGGTGTCATGCAGAGGGAGTCATACAGATGTGTCATGCAGAGGGTGTCACGCAGAGGGTGTCACGCAGAGGGTGTCACGCAGAGGGTGTCACGCAGAGGGTGTCACGCAGAGGGTGTCATACAGAGGGTGTCATACAGAGGGTGTCATACAGAGGGTGTCATACAGAGGGAGTCATGCAGAGGGTGTCACGCAGAGGGTGTCACGCAGAGGGTGTCACGCAGAGGGTGTCACGCAGAGGGTGTCATGCAGAGGGTGTCATGCAGAGGGTGTCATGCAGAGGGTGTCATACATGCAGAGGGTGTCATGCAGAGGGTGTCATACAGAGGGTGTCATACAGAGGGAGTCATGCAGAGGGTGTCACGCAGAAGGTGTCACGCAGAGGGTGTCATGCAGAGGGTGTCATACATGCAGAGGGTGTCATGCAGAGGGTGTCACGCAGAGGGTGTCATACAGAGGGTGTCATACAGAGGGTGTCATACATGCAGAGGGTGTCATACAGAGGGTGTCATGCAGAGGGTGTCATACAGAGGGTGTCATACATGCAGAGGGCGTCATACAGATGTGTCATACAGAGGGCGTCATACAGAGGGTGTCATACATGCAGAGGGCGTCATACAGATGTGTCATACAGAGGGAGTCATACAGATGTGTCATGCAGAGGGTGTCATGCAGAGGGTGTCATGCAGAGGGTGTCACGCAGAGGGTGTCACGCTGAGGGTGTCACACAGAGGGTGTCGTACAGAGGGTTTCGTACAGAGGGTGTCGTACAGAGGGTGTCATACAGAGGGTGTCATACAGAGGGTGTCATACATGCAGAGGGTGTCATACAGAGGGTGTCATACATGCAGAGGGTGTCATACAGAGGGTGTCATACATGCAGAGGGGGTCATACAGAGGGTGTCATGCAGAGGGTGTCATACAGAGGGTGTCATGCAGAGGGTGTCATGCAGAGGGTGTCATACAGAGGGTGTCATACATGTCATACAGAGGGTGCTAGCCAAAGCCACCTCCATCATGAACAACACCTCCCACTGCACAGGACTGTGGAGGAGCTGAGGAGCTCCTTCAGTGGAAGACTGAGACACCCTCAGTGTAGGAAGGAGCGCTACCGCAGGGCCTTTATCCCCACCGCTGTCAGACTGTACAATAAGTCACTTTAAATGATCACTGTGTGAAAACCTGCACTACTATTGACACTGTTTCCAATTGACACTTGTCACTTTTGTTGTACATAATTATTGTCACTTTATTGTACATATATCCAGCATGTAACATGTTTGCACATTTCCTCCTTTTGCACAATGTGTCTCTATCCATGCCAAATGTGACATGTACATTTCTCCTCTGTGAGATAAATAAAGCACATCTTATCTTATCATACAGAGGGTGTCACATACAGAGGGTGTCATACAGAGGGTGTCACATACAGAGGGTGTCATACAGAGGGTGTCACATACAGAGGGTGTCATACAGAGGGTGTCACACAGAGGGTGTCGTACAGAGGGTGTCATACAGAGGGTGTCACACAGAGGGTGTCGTACAGAGGGTGTCATACAGAGGGTGTCATACAGAGGGTGTCATACATGCAGAGGGTGTCATACAGAGGGTGTCATACATGCAGAGGGTGTCATACAGAGGGTGTCATACATGCAGAGGGTGTCATACAGAGGGTGTCATGCAGAGGGTGTCGTACAGAGGGTGTCGTACAGAGGGTGTCATACAGAGGGTGTCATACAGAGGGTGTCGTACAGAGGGTGTCGTACAGAGGGTGTCATACAGAGGGTGTCATACAGAGGGTGTCGTACAGAGGGTGTCATACATGCAGAGGGTGTCATACAGAGGGTGTCATACATGCAGAGGGTGTCATACAGAGGGTGTCGTACAGAGGGTGTCGTACAGAGGGTGTCATACATGCAGAGGGTGTCATACAGAGGGTGTCATACATGCAGAGGGTGTCATACAGAGGGTGTCGTACAGAGGGTGTCGTACAGAGGGTGTCATACAGAGGGTGTCATACAGAGGGTGTCATACATGCAGAGGGTGTCGTACAGAGGGTGTCGTACAGAGGGTGTCGTACAGAGGGTGTCGTACAGAGGGTGTCATACAGAGGGTGTCATACAGAGGGTGTCATACAGAGGGTGTCATACAGAGGGTGTCATACAGAGGGTGTCATACATGCAGAGGGTGTCATACAGAGGGTGTCATACATGCAGAGGGTGTCATACAGAGGGTGTCATACATGCAGAGGGTGTCATACAGAGGGTGTCATACATGCAGAGGGTGTCATACAGAGGGTGTCATGCAGAGGGTGTCTGGAGTTACCCAGGATGCCCTGCTTTAAAGCCCCTTCTTTCCAGCACATTATTATTATTATTGTTATTATTTATTCTCACCATCACTGACCCGTGGAGCCGGTTACAGTCTTCGGGGTCACTGCCCCCAACACGTGACCCCGAAGAAATTAACATGCAAACGGGACAAACAGTTACGAATTTAAAAGAAAGCCATAACATATACAGTATTTAGTTTTTGTTTTGTTTCATATTATTGTTATTAATATTTTCTTTGTTCATTTTTTTATGTATACATTTTTATTTTTATATATTCTTTTCCTATTTTCTTGTTTTTTTTTCTTTTTCTTTTTTCTTTTTAATTGATATTATTATTATTGTTATTCTGCAATCTTCTCTTCTGCATTTTAACTGTGGCCTTGTTGTTTTTGAATTCTAAAGGCAAAAACTCAAAAGGAAAGTACATAAATATAAAAGAGAATTGACCAATGAAGGATTTCCTCTTAATCTTAATCTGGATTTTAATCTTATTCTTAATCTTAATCTTAAAACATTCAAAAACATCTGTGCGTGAATGTGGTTTATGTGTTGACCAGCAGGTGTCACTGTGGCACTATACAAACATCAGCGCTGAATGAAGAACTTAAAATGTATTTGTAGTATTCTGTCAGTACTTGTATTCTGAATACTTAGAATACTTTATATTTGCTGTACATTCATCTGTATTTACAAATGTATAAAGAAACATTTCACTATATTTAAAACCACAAACTACCACAAAATATCTAAATAAATTACTTACTTATTGAAAGCATTTGGAAGTGTGTGTGTGTATGAAAAAAATGACACACATTTGTTAATAATCATTGTCATTAACAAATACTTATAACCAAGTACCACAGCATATATCTATACATGTTTAATAATGTGGTAAATATATTATTACATTGTATTTTCAATGGAAAACGGACCCGACACGCGTTGACGGAACAAATAGGATTGTTTCTATTTCGTCCGTCCGCGTCCGTTGCACCCTCCGTCGACGGAATGCGCCCGACGTGCATCGGACGCATGTTGGAGGCAGTGGAGCCACTTCCATTCACCCGCAATGGAGATAACGGAGACGGAGATGAAACGGACATGTTTGGACGGATATGCCGTCCTTTTTACGCGCCCGGTAGAGTCGGGGCCTTAGATCTGTGTCTGGACCATAAAGAACCTTCAGTGTGAGGCCTTAGATCTGTGTTTGGACCATAAAGAACCTTCAGAGTGAGGCCTTAGATCTGTGTTTGGACCATAAAGAACCTCCAGTGTGAGGCCTTAGATCTGTGTTTGGACCATAAAGAACCTCCAGTGTGAGGCCTTAGATCTGTGTTTGGACCATAAAGAACCTTCAGTGTGAGGCCTTAGATCTGTGTCTGGACCATAAAGAACCTTCAGTGTGAGGCCTTAGATCTGTGTCTGGACCATAAAGAACCTTCAGTGTGAGGCCTTAGATCTGTGTTTGGACTATAAAGAACCTTCAGTGTGAGGCCTTAGATCTGTGTTTGGACCATAAAGAACCTCCAGTGTGAGGCCTTAGATCTGTGTCTGAACCATAAAGAACCTTCAGTGTGAGGCCTTAGATCTGTGTCTGGACCATAAAGAACCTTCAGAGTGAGGCCTTAGATCTGTGTTTGGACCATAAAGAACCTACAGTGTGAGGCCTTAGATCTGTGTCTGGACCTTAAAGAACCTTCAGTGTGAGGCCTTAGATCTGTGTTTGGACCATAAAGAACCTCCAGTGTGAGGCCTTAGATCTGTGTCTGGACCATAAAGAACCTCCAGTGTGAGGGCTTAGATCTGTGTTTGGACCATAAAGAACCTTCAGTGTGAGGCCTTAGATCTGTGTTTGGACCATAAAGAACCTTCAGTGTGAGGCCTTAGATCTGTGTCTGGACCATAAAGAACCTTCAGTGTGAGGCCTTAGATCTGTGTTTGGACCATAAAGAACCTTCAGTGTGAGGCCTTAGATCTGTGTCTGGACCATAAAGAACCTTCAGTGTGAGGCCTTAGATCTGTGTTTGGACCATAAAGAACCTTCAGTGTGAGGCCTTAGATCTGTGTTTGGACCATAAAGAACCTTCAGTGTGAGGCCTTAGATCTGTGTCTGGACCATAAAGAACCTTCAGTGTGAGGCCTTAGATCTGTGTTTGGACCATAAAGAACCTTCAGTGTGAGGCCTTAGATCTGTGTTTGGACCATAAAGAACCTTCAGTGTGAGGCCTTAGATCTGTGTCTGGACCATAAAGAACCTTCAGTGTGAGGCCTTAGATCTGTGTCTGGACCATAAAGAACCTTCAGTGTGAGGCCTTAGATCTGTGTTTGGACCATAAAGAACCTTCAGTGTGAGGCCTTAGATCTGTGTTTGGACCATAAAGAACCTTCAGTGTGAGGCCTTAGATCTGTGTCTGGACCATAAAGAACCTTCAGTGTGAGGCCTTAGATCTGTGTTTGGACCATAAAGAACCTACAGTGTGAGGCCTTAGATCTGTGTTTGGACCATAAAGAACCTTCAGTGTGAGGCCTTAGATCTGTGTCTGGACCATAAAGAACCTTCAGTGTGAGGCCTTAGATCTGTGTTTGGACCATAAAGAACCTCCAGTGTGAGGCCTTAGATCTGTGTTTGGACCATAAAGAACCTCCAGTGTGAGGCCTTAGATCTGTGTCTGGACCATAAAGAACCTTCAGTGTGAGGCCTTAGATCTGTGTCTGGACCATAAAGAACCTTCAGTATGAGGCCTTAGATCTGTGTTTGGACCATAAAGAACCTTCAGTGTGAGGCCTTAGATCTGTGTTTGGACCATAAAGAACCTTCAGTGTGAGGCCTTAGATCTGTGTCTGGACCATAAAGAACCTTCAGTGAGAGTCTTTCCCAGTTCTGCTTCTCCCTCGTCTCCAGAGAAGAAACGTTTTGATTTCGTGATATGAGATTTATGCACAGTTTTGTATTTCTTGTAAAAGGAAGCGATCGATTTAACTTCAGTAAAAAGTTGAGACTGATTCTTTTTTTGTCATCGATGCCTCAGTGCAACATTGTTTTTGTATGAGCTCTTTGTTCGTTTACACACATTGGACATCTGCCCCTTATGTACCAAAGACTTGTGTGTTTTTATCAATGCATTTCCTGTGTTTGAACCACAGACTGTAAATATTAACAGTCTGTGTCCGCCGTAGAAACTAATGTGACATCACTTTTGCCTTCTGTGGGTTTTTCAAAATGGCCGCGGGACAGGAACATGAGAAAAAACACATTTGTGCATGTGTTAGCTGCACGAGCCCCATTTACCGAGTTCAGTAACGAGCATTCAAAAGTCCACAGCGGCTAAACTAGACTGGTCCAAAAACATATACTCTCCTCAAGATCGACAGAATCTGGAAATCAGCTTTGCACCAAGAACCACTTTTGGACAATCCTGTAAAGACGTTCTCTTTCTGGGTACACCCCCACCGACCTTGGTCTGTAAAAATGCGCTATAAAATAACAATTGTGAACCGCTTTGTGACTCTGGTCTGTGAGAGGCGGTATATAAATAAAGATTACTTACTTTCTTACTTATATAAATAAACTACTTACTTACTTTTAGGGACATTGGTCTCTGCTCCTGCTCAGGCGGCACGGTGGCTGAGTGGTTAGCACTTTCGCTTCTCAGCAAGAAGGTCCCAGCCGGAACCGGGTCTTTCTGAGTGGAGTTTGCATGTTCTCTCTTGTCTGCGTAGGTTTCCTCCGGGTGCTCCGGTTTCCCTACCACTAAAAACATGTACAATAGGTCTGTGCCTCCTGTACTGGCCCCTCCCATCTCTGTGTGGAGTCAGAGACTAATGCACACAAAAGTGCTTTGACTCTGGTCTGAGAAAGGCGCTATATAAATATACTGTATACATAAATAGTACTTACTTACTTAAGGACCAATGACTCTTTTATAATTGCATTCCGTGTTTGAACTGATTCTCTGATCTGCGTTGGTGAATCGACAGCTTTGATAAATAGATACTTTATTGATCCTGAAGGACATTGTGCATTAATCCGTTGCTCTCAAAGTCCTTCGACACGGCGGCTGTTGTTATTTAGAGATAAACAAAAATACATGAATTAAATATCCTCCAAAGCAGCTTTCTCAAAGGAACCAGAAGTTCACATTTACTTTAACTCATTGACTGCCAACCCACAGAATATGATGTGCTATGACGATGTGAAATATGAAACCAGATTCTGAAAGACTGGATTGTCTACTTCCAACAGCAAAAATAAGTGTGTTTCCTGCTAGTTTTATTCTCCTGTAATCCCCAGTCGCCTAGAAAGAAGTTTGACAGAAATCACCGCTCTCAGACAAATACGTCAAGGGCAGTCAATGAGTTAAGGAGATGTTCAAAGTCCCGCTCCTCACCCTCGGCTGGAGAGAGTGAGATGAGTGAGACGGGTGAGACGGGTGAGAAAGAGAGAGAGTGTGTGTGAGTTCCAGGAAACGGTGACTTTGAGCAGAACTTCTTGGCTTCAGTTTTGTTTTCAAAGAACACACAACGACATCTTTCACCGTCACGCTCCATGCACTGTTTATCAACATTTACTCACCATGGTAATTCAGTTCCTCTTTGTGTGTGTGTGTGTGTCTGTGTGTGTGTGTGTCTGTGTGTGTGTGAGGTGTGTGTGTGTGTGAGAGAGAGTGTGTGGGGGGTGTGTGTGTGTGTGTGTGTGAGAGAGTGTGTGTGGGGGGGTGTGTGTGTGTGTAAGAGAGAGTGTGTGGGGTGTGTGTGTGTGTGTGTGAGAGAGAGAGAGAGTGTGTGGGGTGTGTGTGTGTGTGTGAGAGAGAGAGAGTGTGTGGGGGGTGTGTGTGTGTGTGTGAGAGAGTGCGTGTGTCTGTGTGTGTGTGTGTGCGCGCGTGTGCGTGTGTGTGAGTGCGTGTGTGGTGTGTGTGTGAGTGCGTGTGTGGTGTGTGTGTGCCTGTGTGAGTGCGTGTGTGTGTGGTGTGTGTGTGCCTGTGTGAGTGCGTGTGTGGTGTGTGTGAGAGTGTGTGTGTGTGTTTGTAGATTAGTTTCTGTGTAGTTCAGAAGCTGACGGGGTCTAAATTAAAACAAACAATACATTATTATTGTTGTTTGTAAGTCAAAGAATCAAGTTGTGTTTGTATTGGTGAATGTTAAAGGTACAGTGTCGTTTTTACTCCCATCTAGCGTTGACATATGTTGTTCGCAGGACAACGTGAGGTCCCCAACTCCCGGTCAAACTCTTTTTTGTCCCTTATCAGCCACCGTATTTCAAGATGGCGCATTGACCTGTAGAGTCCTCAGCCTCATGGACATTTAGAAGTCAGATTCTAAGCCTATGACAACAATTCAAAAACATGGTGGAGGTGAATATTCTTAAAAAGGTCACATTTGTTTTTGGTTTACATGTTTTTTGCATTTGCAACAACTGTAAAAATTACACAGAGTACTTTTAAAGGTTTATAGGAGGATGGTCCTCCCAACTGTCAATCATTCCAGTGATCCGTGTTCGACCAATCAGACCAGAGAATTTGGTTCAGAAAATGGAGAAGGCGGTTCTTTCCTGTAAGTTCAGTGGAATAATGTAAAGAAGGTTGTATAGATCGTTATTGTGTGTTTTCTGTCGGTGTTGTGTCGACTGAACACACTCAATTAACTTCAGTCATTTTATAAACGCTGAAAGGTTTATTTAACGACTGCAAATAAAGTAGTTCCCAAAGGTTTTCCCGCGGCTAGGTGAGTAACGGCTAAGCTAGCTACTGACTACTTGAAGTGAATCACAAGAACAGAGAGCGTCGGCAGCGGTTTTAGAGTCAAGAGAAAATGACCAGAAGAATGTTTGTTCAGATTATCTTTGGGAACACTGGCACAAGTGTAAGTAAGTAATCTTTATTTATATACCGCCGTTCACAGACCAGAGACACAGCAGTTTACAATTGTTGTACTTTGGGCTCTCACTCCACACACTCCACACAGAGATGGGAGGGGCCAGTACAGGAGGCACATGCCAGAACTATTGGACATGTTTTTAGTGGTAGGGGAAACCAGAGCACCCGGAGGAAACCTACGCAGACACGGGGAGAACATGCAAACTCCACTCAGAAAGACCCTAGTCCGACCGGGATTCGAACCCAAGACCTTCTTGCTGAGTGGGGAGAGTGCTAACCACTCAGCCACCGTGCCGCCCAAGTGTCTTCTACAAATCATTAGAATTGTTTCCTTTTATTTATTTAATCGTATTTGTGTCGTGTGCGGTGTCTTTTTGTCTTTATATGTTTTTATGAAGTTTACATGATTTTGTGTTATTAGTTAATTCAAAGACTCCACAAGATTGTTATTATCATTATAATTGTTATTGTTGTTATTATTAACACCACAGTGTGCTCAGTATTATTATAATGTGTGTAATTAACCTGGTGTTTGCGGTTCATCATTGAACCTAAAGACTAAATCTGTGATTCTAATCCCGACGACTGCAGCGTGTGTGCGTTCTTCCTAAAGCAGATTAAAAAGCCGTAACTGATCAAAAGAACCAAACGAGAGAAACGCTGTCATTAACCCGGACAAACATTCCTCACGCTCAGATAGATTTCTCATTTCAAAGATTAGAAACGGGCGGCACAAGAAGGTCCTGGGTTTGCATCCTGCTCAGAACAGGGCTATTCTGAGTGCAGTTTACATGTTCTCCTTGTGTCTGCGTAGGTTTCCCCCAGGTGCTCCGGTTTCCTCAAGGTGCTCCGGTTTCCCCCAGGTGCTCAGGTTTCCCCCAGGTGCTCCAGTTTCCTCCTGGTGCTCCGGTTTCCCCCAGGTGCTCCGGTTTCCCCCAGGTGCTCCAGTTTCCTCCTGGTGCTCCGGTTTCCTCCAGGTGCTCCGGTTTCTCCCAGGTGCTCCAGTTTCCTCCAGGTGCTCCGGTTTCCTCCAGGTGCTCCGGTTTCTCCCAGGTGCTCCAGTTTCCTCCAGGTGCTCCGGTTTCCTCCAGGTGCTCCGGTTTCCCCCAGGTGCTCCGGTTTCCCCCAGGTGCTCCAGTTTCCCCCAGGTGCTCCGGTTTCCCCCAGGTGCTCCAGTTTCCTCCAGGTGCTCCGGTTTCTCCCAGGTGCTCCAGTTTCCTCCAGGTGCTCCGGTTTCCCCCAGGTGCTCCGGTTTCCCCCAGGTGCTCTGGTTTCCTCCAGGTACTCCGGTTTCCCCCAGGTGCTCCGGTTTCCCCCAGGTGCTCTGGTTTCCTCCAGGTACTCCGGTTTCCCCCAGGTGCTCCAGTTTCCCCCAGGTGCTCCGGTTTCCCCCAGGTGCTCCAGTTTCCTCCAGGTGCTCCGGTTTCTCCCAGGTGCTCCAGTTTCCTCCAGGTGCTCCGGTTTCCCCCAGGTGCTCCGGTTTCCCCCAGGTGCTCTGGTTTCCTCCAGGTACTCCGGTTTCCCCCAGGTGCTCCAGTTTCCCCCAGGTGCTCCAGTTTCCTCCAGGTGCTCCGGTTTCTCCCAGGTGCTCCAGTTTCCTCCAGGTGCTCCGGTTTCCCCCAGGTGCTCCGGTTTCCCCCAGGTGCTCTGGTTTCCTCCAGGTACTCCGGTTTCCCCCAGGTGCTCCAGTTTCCCCCAGGTGCTCCGGTTTCCCCTACCACTAAAAACATGCACACTAGGTAAAACCCTCCAGCTCTGGTTCTGACTAAGCCGAGCACCAACACCTGGAGATGGGTTCCCAGGTGCTGTTACCATGGCAACCACTGCTCCTGATGTAAGCCTTAGGATCTGGGTCAAATGCAGAGGACACATTTCTCTGCGTGGTTCCCGAGGTTACTGAGATTCGTCCATTTCTGGGTCGGGGGGAGGGGGAGAGGCCTTGGTCTTTCAGCGAGGGCTTTGGGCAACGTGATGTTAAGTGTCTTGCCCAAGGACACAACAACAGCAGACATATGTAAGTAAGTAATGTTTATTTATATAGCGCCTTTCACAGACCTGAGTCACAAAACGCTTTACAATTGTTAGCATTTGTCTCTCACTCCACACAGAGAGAAGGGAGTGGGAGCAGTGGAGTTGGTCTCATGAGGGGATCGAACCCACAACCTCCCAAAAATAAACGTAAATAGGATAATGGGGGCAACAGTGGCTTAGTTGGTAGAGCATTGGTCTGTGAGCCTGAAGGTTGTGGGTTAGAGCACAGGTCTCCACCGACTCCCACTGATGTCTGCTGTCATTGTGTCCTTAGGCAAGACACTTCCCCCACATTAGAATGAGTCTGGTGTGTGTGTGAATGGTTGGTGGTGGTGGGAGGGGCTTCTGTCAGGCCCTGTTTATACTGAGACGCTGCGCAGACGTTTCCAGGCTATAAACAGAAACGACCTGGCTCCTAATGCAAATTTCTCTGCGTTCACATGAGGTTGAAATACGATGTAGTTCTAGCGCCCGGCCAGTAGGGGGCAGAGAAACTTTACAACACTCACAGGACCCCCAGCCCCGTGCCCAGCCCCCCCCTCGGCAGTGTACTCACTTCCTGTGCCAGACCCTCAGGACGCACCAACATCATTCTGCATTTTAACAGCAGCTGTGAAAATGGGAACTGAACCTAGAGCTTCGCGTGGTCTCGTTTGGACGAACGAAGGAGTAGAATTATCCTCTGTGCTGTGCTGGAAGCCCACGAAGCTAGTTAGTGTGACCGCCGCCATTGTTGTTGATGTTTGTTCTCCGCTACTGCGCATGTCCAAATGTACGTGCAGGAGCAGCAGGAGGCGGGGGTCAGAGCAGCAGGAGGTGGGGGTCAGAGCAGCAGGAGGTGGGGGTCAGAGCAGAGGGAGGTGGGGGTCAGAGCAGCAGGAGGTGGGGGTCAGAGCAGCAGGAGGTGGGGGTCAGAGCAGAGGGAGGTGGGGGTCAGAGCAGAGGGAGGTGGGGGTCAGAGCAGCAGGAGGTGGGGGTCAGAGCAGCAGGAGGTGGGGGTCAGAGCAGCAGGAGGTGGGGGTCAGAGCAGCAGGAGGTGGGGGTCAGAGCAGCAGGAGGTGGGGGTCAGAGCAGCAGGAGGTGGGGGTCAGAGCAGCAGGAGGTGGGGGTCAGAGCAGAGGGAGGTGGGGGTCAGAGCAGAGGGAGGTGGGGGTCAGAGCAGAGGGGGATTTCACACCTTTTCCCCTCTCGCTGGTGTGAAAGAGCCCCCGCTGTGCAACGTTTCTGAGTTGTCCCACTCTGAGGCTGGATCTGAACACTTACGTTTTCACCTGGAACACAGTCTTCGTATGAACGCTTGGTAGCAACCGACATCCAACTATACTGTTTTACTGCCACTGTGTCAGTGTGCCTCAGGGCTGTATAAAACCAATGCATTATTATTATTATTATGATGTACCTGTAAAACCCCCCATGGTCTGACCGCAGCCCCGCCTCCTGGATGTGGCGAGGTGCTGCTCATGTACGCGGTGATGAAGTGCCCTGTCAGAGGCCGGCGTGCACTCAGGGTCTGGGCGCATGGACGTTGGTTTTCAGAGTTGGATGTTTCTATTACGAGGGTGGAAAAGCTGCAGTTAGTATTTCAGTCAGACGAGAAAGGGCTACGAATAAAACACATGCATAAAACATTACGCACTCGTGAATGTTTACGATTCAATTCATTGTGTGTTGTTCAGCAATTCATGTTCCATTATTTTGAGGACTGCCATGGAATAGTAATCTGAGTCCTCCATCACAGGTTTTATTGAGTAAGTCAGACACAAAAATAGGTCCAGCAGTGTAGGTCTGTACAATGCCAGACCTATTGTACATGTTTTTAGTGGTAGGGGAAACCGGAGCACCCAGAGGAAACCTGCAAAGACACGGGGAGAACATGCAAAATCCACTTAGAAAGGCCCTGTTCCGACCAAGATTTGAACCCAGGACCTTCTTGCTGAGAAGCGAGAGTGCTATGGCAGCCACCGTGCCGACCATTACATCAATTATATTAAGTCTTCCACCAGTGAAAAAAAACATGCAAATTGTAGTCAGAAACAGTGTGTTTGATTCTCTGGTCTGTTGTTGGCGAATCAACAACTTTGTAAAGTGCTCCAAGACAACTGTTGTTGTAATTTACAGGTCACACAAAAACACAACTTGAATTGAAATTGAAATTAAACTTGTAATACCACCACACACCGCTAGGAGGCAACAGTTACTTTACATCAGTGTCTCCCAAAGTGGGGTCCGCGGCCCCCTGGTGGGCCGCGAGGGTACTGCAGGGGGGCCGCGGGAGGTCATAAAAAAATAAAAATATATATATAATTATTTAATGTTAAATTTATAATGTTTTGTTTGTAATATTAAAATATTTGTGTTCATTATTTGACTTGAATAATCCACTGTAATCATTTTTGTATTACAATGTTTGTAGCAGAGGCTATTTCCCCAAAATAAAATAACCAGAAGAGCCTATTCTTAATGTTGTCTTCTTGGTTATTATTTTGGGGGGCCACGCAGACCCGTCAGATTTTTAAGGGGGCCTCGGTGTTACTGAGTTTGGGAATGGCTGCTTTACATTATCAACAGTTAAAACAAGAAATAAAAATCATATTAATAAACTTCATATTAATGCTTCATATATTACCCTTAAGAGTAATAAAATACGTGTTTACGAGTTTTAAGGAGGTTAAAAACGAATTAAAACAACTTAGTGAAGCTAATTAGCATGCTAGCAGGTGTTCATGACGTGTTCGCGGTTATCTGGCGAACACGTCTGGCAAACTTCAAATCTTGTTTTTATTATTTCTAAGGTTTCACATATCTATTATACAAGTCAGTGATGTTTTATGACTTGCACCAGTGTGTTTATATAAATGTGTAAACGATATATATGTTTCAAGTTGATTTTGTGGTTGTCTAATGCAGCGCCTTGTCCTGTTTACATCTATAGTATGTTGTTAAATGGAAATATTAGCCTTTTTATATATAACTTTATGACAGACTCATGGTCCATATCATCACAGACAAAAAACAGTTTCCAGAGTAACTATACAAATTAATCTTTTTGCAGTAATACCGTTATTATTATAGATACATGAGTAATAAGTATTTAGCTTATTGCCGTTAGCTTGAGGTTTAGTTTATTGTCCCTATGCTACTCATTGGCTGCTTCATTATAATTAATTCGGGTTTGAAATATTTTAGTCTGGACTCAATCAATTAATCACATTTTATTAAAAGCGCTTTTCATACAGAGAATGCCACACAGTTTATTTAAAAACAAAAAAAAACAATTCAGTATGCACATGACTCCCAAAACCACATTTATTATTAGACACACGCACACGCACACACACACACACACACGCACGCACGCACCCCCCCACCCCACCCCCCCCCCCCCTTCTTTGTGGATTAAAAGTCTCATTCCTCTGGGGGATATTGACGGTGGTTTCTAACGCACTGATCTATTGAAGCCTCTCTGTTGTCTGCAGGCTCTGGGCTTAACTCTGCTGTGAACATCCATCCGCACGGACTACCAGCCCATTGGATTGTCGAAGCAGAGAGAGGACGGGCAAGTCTCCCCCTTTCTCGCATGCACACCCCCCTCCTCCCACCTCCCTCTTTATGTTTATGTCACATCTCCAGCCTCTCTCCACTCGCGGTTACGCAGGCGGACGTCCACATCTCTTGGTAGGAAAACAGCGTACATACGGCAGCTGCTGGTGGTGGTGGTGGTCCCGGGTCTAGCTGCTGTTTTCTGCCGTGGATGTGTTGATTCCTCCGCGTCTGGATCAACTTCGCCTGGGACAAACACACGTCCATCCACCTATTTGGTTTCATGACGCCAGAGGAAGCGGGCAGAGGGTGATCCTAGCGCCGCTGGAGGAGCTGGAGGACTGACAGGAAGGGGGGAGAAGCGACATGCATACCCACGCTACGACAGCATAGACCCACCAGGAGGAACGCCTGCTGGCTGCCTGTATCCAACGCGTCATTTTCGGGACATGATTCGTGCAGAACCGTGGGATTTTACACACGGAGCCGAGGAGGATGCCAGGCTGTGGTGTTGCTGCACGGTAGATTTGGCACCACCACGCAGCGTTTGCATGTCACAGACCCAAGCACTCGCCAGGCAAAAAATGTGCACACAACTTTAGTCACAACCCGGTGTGATCCACGGACGGATGCGACGCTGCGTGATGGTCTGTAGATCTGAATTCCACCGCGTCCATCTCGCTCTCTCCACAGTATGATTCCGGTGTCTTGCCCACACTTTCCACTTCAATGCGTGCAGCCGTGTTGGCTTTGAGTCCATCTACAAGCTCAGAGATTGCTGCTTGTGAACGTGTGAGCAGGCCTATTCTTTGCCCATGCGCGTCCTACTGCTGCTGCTACTGACACTGATAGAAAGATAGTGTCTCTGCCACTGCTCGCGTCACGGGGGTGTGTTTCCAAAACCTGCACATCCATTTACTTATGTCAACACTGCGGAGGTGCTGTGCAGAGGAGAGGACACTGTCATAACACAGACCTGCATCTGGCTTTCTTTACTCCCTGATACCTGCTCCAAAGTTGCAATGGTTTTCCGAAAGTTGCCTGGCGTCTCCGCATCGGGCATGGGTCTGCGCCTGTCCCAGAAGTTTGTGTTTTTGCTTTTTCTTTCAGGCTTGGTCACGCTGTGTTTCGGGGCGCTTTTCTTTCTGCCAGACTCTGTGAGACTGAAGCGCATCTTTTTGTCAAAGACTGAGATCCAGCCGGTCACTGTGGGGTCTGGGTCCGAGAACGACGCTAGGGAACACGTAAAGAGACCCAAAGAGCAAGGCATGACCCCGGGGAAGGGAGAGACCACCAGCATCAAGCAGAAAAACCTCAGCCGTAGACCTCCGTCGTCTCTGGAGAGGACAGATGAGCGGCTGCCCGGGGGTAAGGCGCAGGAGGACTTGTCTCTGCCCAAGTCCAGGACCGAACCAGCGACCTCATCCATGCGCAGTGTGGACATGGACACGTTTAGTTACAACAAGTTCAGGGGATGTCTGCTCAAGCCACCCATGGGCAGGGATAATGGGAGACCGAACGACCCGGTGACCAACGAGAGGAGGGAGAAAGTGAAAGAGGTAAGGGCTGTACTCTGCTGGAGGTTTTCTACTTCTTTGAGTTATGCTGCAGATAATAATAACTACTCATTTCAAGAATGCATACAAGCAAAGAGTGTAGTAGACTTTGCCATTGCTGAGACCGGAACTTTTACTCTATAAAGTCGCTTATACTACATAAGTGTGGAAGTTGGGGTCTCTCTCTTTTGTGAATATCGGAGTGTGAATGTGAGCCAGTGCAAAGTCATGTCCTCTTTTCTTATTTCCTGCTAAATTCTATCCATCTTAATATATGAAAAGTCCAATTGCAAAAGCAGATAATGTCATAAGACATAAACATGTGAAAAGCGTACAATCTCCCCTTTACAACGTATTCTTTTGGAAAAGCCAGATGTATTTTAGACCCGTTCAAATACAGTTTCAGGCTTATAAACGTACTGCCACTAACAAAACATGTTGGAGATTTTAGTGTGAGAAATGCAAGTTTTTGACACATTTACAAAGCGGAGAAATCTGTTTGGGATTTGTTCAAGAAGGGGTGAAATTTTAATACATCTGGCTGTTCTAAAACCTTCTTGTTAAAGGGCACATTGTAAGCTATTATGTCCCAGGTAGTTTTAGAATTATCTGCAATATTTGATCAAAATATCCGTTGTATTTTGTTTTTGAATCCGGGCGCTTCGTGTGTGTCCTTCTGGGTTTCACACAATTATCACATCATACCCATGTTAGAGAATAAGTCTGTGTTTTTAGTTATTACTCAGATAATTTCCGGCGCTGACAAAATAGGATCTGAAACAGGAAAAGGCAGAAGCAAAAACATATCAACGCAAACCCTTTAGTTTACAATTTAAACTTAATATTGCTGCTACACATTAAAACAAATGGTAGTTTGAGTGAGAAGTGAGCAGTTAACTCTCAGTCATGTGAGTGGCCTCGGTGCCCGGTCACAACAGTCTGCAGTTCTCAGGGCTGCGAGCCAAGCTTTGTTGAGCCCGGTGGGTCAAACCAGCGCCAGGAGAGAGAGAGAGTGTCAGAGTCTGTCGCTCACACATCTGCACACGCTCAGACCGCGAGGCCGAGAGGAGGTGGGACCAGTGGACTTTACACAGCGCCGCTCAGGCTCGTGACAGAGACGTGGATGAGTCCTGGTTGGTCTCAGGCGTCTCATGCTTTTAGACCTCCAGGCGATGTGTTGTCAAACTCAATTTGGTTGAGGGCCGAATAAAAAATGAAAGGGCTGGTCAGGGGCCGAAAGAATAGATGGGTTTCATTTATTACACTTTTTTATACTATGAAGGTATCTTTATAAATGACTTGGATTGGACAGTCTTTTCTGATCAGAATTAGTTCAGTTCCTGTGGACTGAACCAAAACTGGACCAAAACTGACTCAAAACTAGACCAAAACTGAACCAAATATTGAAGATATATAGGAAGACTCTCTAATTCCTGGTGGATCATGAAGACTATTGGTCCTCCCACTTGTCAATCATTCTAGTGATACGTGATCGTCAACTTAGACCAGATAGTTTTGTTGAAAAAGCGGTTCTTTCCTATGAAAATTGGGAAATCCTTCTTCATAATTTTAAGAAGAAAAGTAATTGAAGACTAAAAAAACACATAAAAAACATAAGCTAACAATACTAACTTCTAATCACATGTTGGCTTCACATTTCTTATGGAATTACATTTTCTGGTTGTTTTCTTGAGAAACTTAGTAATGGATAACATACCATTATCTACCATCAATGCTGCTATTTAATATAATTATTTAAAATCATCTCAGGGGCCACTGGGAATGGTCTCGCGGGCCGGATCTGGCCCCCGGGCCTTGACTTTGACACCTATGTATTACACGACAGAGGAGGACCGCGGAGTTCCTCTTTCTCTTCTCACCCGTAGCTTCTTCTTTGATGCTATTTCAAACACAGTTACCTCGCCTCGTGTTTCAGCTGAGTTTGCAAATGTCTCTCGATCAAAGCTGTGGGAAAAGTTATGTTTCTTATGCCTTCCTTTCTTCCTTGAATTGTTGCAGAACTTTAGGGCATGTCCTTACTTGGTCGCATTCGTTACTGTGTGTCTACCAGTGGGGGCGGGTCCTGGGTCCAAAAGGGCCATGAGCACATGCACTGAAATGCTGCAATCTCACTACTTGCAGGTGGTGGGGGGGGGGGGGGGGGGTGTACCCGGAAAGAGAATTACCTAATGATTTTGTATGGCGTCTTCTTTCCTCTCAAAAGTCTTTACAGAATGGTCCCAAAGTGGTTCTTGGTCCAAAATGGCTCTTGGTCCAAAATGGCTCTTGGTCCAAAATGGCTCTTGGTCCAAAAGTGGCTCTTGGTCCAAAATGGCTCTTGATCCAAAAGTGGCTCTTGGTCCAAAATGGCTCTTGGTCCAAAGGTGGTTCTTGGTCCAAAAGTGGCTCTTGGTCCAAAAGTGGCTCTTGGTCCAAAAGTGGTTCTTGGTCCAAAAGTGGTTCTTGGTCCGAAAGTGGCTCTTGGTCCAAAAGTGGCTCTTGGTCCGAAAGTGGCTCTTGGTCCGAAAGTGGCTCTTGGTCCAAAAGTGGCTCTTGGTCCAAAAGTGGCTCTTGGTCCAAAAGTGGCTCTTGGTCCAAAAGTGGTTCTTGGTCCAAAAGTGGTTCTTGGTCCGAAAGTGGCTCTTGGTCCAAAAGTGGCTCTTGGTCCGAAAGTGGCTCTTGGTCCGAAAGTGGCTCTTGGTCCAAAAGTGGCTCTTGGTCCAAAAGTGGCTCTTGGTCCAAAAGTGGCTCTTGGTCCAAAATGGCTCTTGGTCCAAAAGTGGCTCTTGGTCCAAAATGGCTCTTGGTCCAAAGGTGGTTCTTGGTCCAAAAGTGGTTCTTGGTCCAAAAGTGGCTCTTGGTCCGAAAGTGGCTCTTGGTCCAAAAGTGGCTCTTGGTCTAAAAGTGGCTCTTGGTCCGAAAGTGGTTCTTGGTCCAAAATGGCTCTTGGTCAGAAAGTGGCTCTTGGTGCAAAAGTGGCTCTTGGTCCAAAAGTGGCTCTTGGTCAAAAAGTGGCTCTTGGTCCAAAAGTGGCTCTTGGTCAAAAAGTGGCTCTTGGTTAAAAAGTGGCTCTTGGTCCAAAAGTGGCTCTTGGTCAAAAAGTGGCTCTTGGTCCAAAGCTTCGTTGCTGTTGATGTTGAGGGGAGTGTATATTTTTGGACCAGTCTAGTTTAGCCGTTGTGGACTTTTTCAGTGCACTTGTTAAATTAACAGGGCTCATTTGGGCTAACGCATGCGCAAATGTGTTTCTTCACATGTTCTTGCCCCGTGCCCATTTTGAAAGAGCCACAGAAGACAAAAGTGGTTGCACATTAGTTACAACGGCGGAGATAGGCGTCACTACCTCCAATAAAACAGTCTATGCTACTTAGCTAGCTTCTGTGTTTCCTGGAAGCCTGCGTTTTGCTAACCTCCCCATAACCTGTTTCATTATTTTTGAATTTGTTAGTTAGTTTACCCGACCATGAGGCTGTCCTGTCCATGTCTGACATACACCTGTGTTTCATCTTCATCATTCCAAACACAGTTAATGCAAAGTAGGGTTTTCTTTTCCAAGCCAACAAAGCATGTCTGACCCGGTCCATTGAGCGCTCCACGGCTCAGGCTCTGAATGGGGATCATTTTCCCAACAGCCACCTAGAAAGCAGACTCCCTACTTACATCCTGCCAAGATCGAGAGCCAGAGTAAAAGGGACAAGCTTTTTCAAAGGACTCCAGTGCCAGAGGAGTTGAGAGACAAGCGATTCACTCCCAGTTGGTCTCGCTTCAGGCTCTGGCAGGTGCTCTCCTCTTAATAACCTGATAAATGCTCTTTAGTGGAAGCTGTTTCATTATTAGGTCGTTTCCAATATGATGCTGCAGGGAATCTGACTCTTTCAATGAGCCTGTTTTAGTGTCTCAAAATCTCTGCGAAACACAAATATTTATAAAAAATTGTAGCAGTCCCTCATCTTCTCTTACATCCTAGAGCAGGGGTCTCAAACTGGTCCAGAAAGAGCCGGTGTGGCTGCATGATTTAGTTCCAAGTTAGAAATGCTCTCAAAAACATTAGATAATATCCAAGATTTAAAAAAACAAACACATTTTTTATGACTAAGAATAGCCTTTCTGCACTTGGATGGAATACATGCTCAACCACACGCCAGGTTTATGCCGGTTATGTGCTCTACGACAAGTTTCATTATTGTTTTGTTATTTGTATGTTTCGTACAGTTTATACAAAAGGCAAACAAGAAACAGTCACAAAAAAGGTTTCAAATCATGAATAATCACATGAAAAAGAGTCCTTCACTTTTATGCTGGCTTTGAACATTGTCAGGGTAGAAGTCTCACATTTTAGCAGCGTCAATCTGAAACGCTGCCTCAGAGTCCCAGCAGGAGGCCAGTCCCTGTGCTCCTCAGAGTCCCAGCAGGAGGCCAGTCCCTGTGCTCCTCAGAGTCCCAGCAGGAGTCCAGTCCCTGTGCTCCTCAGAGTCCCAGCAGGAGACCAGTCCCTGTGCTCCTCAGAGTCCCAGCAGGAGGCCAGTCCCTGTGCTCCTCAGAGTCCCAGCAGGAGGCCAGTCCCTGTGCTCCTCAGAGTCCCAGCAGGAGTCCAGTCCCTGTGCTCCTCAGAGTCCCAGCAGGAGACCAGTCCCTGTGCTCCTCAGAGTCCCAGCAGGAGGCCTGTCCCTGTGCTCCTCAGAGTCCCAGCAGGAGGCCAGTCCCTGTGCTCCTCAGAGTCCCAGCAGGAGGCCAGTCCCTGTGCTCCTCAGAGTCCCAGCAGGAGGCCAGTCCCTGTGCTCCTCAGAGTCCCAGCAGGAGGCCTGTCCCTGTGCTCCTCAGAGTCCCAGCAGGAGGCCAGTCCCTGTGCTCCTCAGAGTCCCAGCAGGAGACCAGTCCCTGTGCTCCTCAGAGTCCCAGCAGGAGGCCTGTCCCTGTGCTCCTCAGAGTCCCAGCAGGAGGCCTGTCCCTGTGCTCCTCAGAGTCCGTGGTACTAACATGTCAGAGATGAACATTGGTACAAACTCTAATATAATCTGGTGATTCTTCTTCTGCTTGTTTTGTTACCGTGAGTTATAAACCTCCAGTCCCTCTCTCTCTCCCCCAGTCCCTCACTCTCTCCCAGTCCCTCTCTCTCTCCCCCAGTCCCTCTCTCTCCCCCAGTCCCTCTCTCTCCCCCAGTCCCTCACTCTCCCCCAGTCCCTCTCTCTCCCCCAGTCCCTCACTCTCCCCCAGTCCCTCTCTCTCCCCCAGTCCCTCACTCTCCCCCAGTCCCTCTCTCTTCCCCAGTCCCTCACTCTCTCCCCCAGTCCCTCTCTCTCCCCCAGTCCCTCTCTCTCCCCCAGTCCCTCACTCTCCCCCAGTCCCTCTCTCTCCCCCAGTCCCTCACTCTCCCCCAGTCCCTCTCTCTTCCCCAGTCCCTCACTCTCTCCCCCAGTCCCTCTCTCTCCCCCAGTCCCTCTCTCTCTCCCCCAGTCCCTCTCTCTCCCCCAGTCCCTCACTCTCCCCCAGTCCCTCTCTCTCCCCCAGTCCCTCACTCTCCCCCAGTCCCTCTCTCTCCCCCAGTCCCTCTCTCTCCCCCAGTCCCTCTCTCTCTGCCCCAGTCCCTCTCTCTGCCCCAGTCCCTCACTCTCCCCCAGTCCCTCTCTCTGCCCCAGTCCCTCTCTCTCCCCCAGTCCCTCTCTCTCCCCCAGTCCCTCTCTCTCCCCCAGTCCCTCTCTCTGCCCCAGTCCCTCTCTCTCCCCCAGTCCCTCTCTCTGCCCCAGTCCCTCTCTCTCCCCCAGTCCCTCACTCTCCCCCAGTCCCTCTCTCTCCCCCAGTCCCTCACTCTCCCCCAGTCCCTCTCTCTTCCCCAGTCCCTCACTCTCTCCCCCAGTCCCTCTCTCTCCCCCAGTCCCTCTCTCTCTCCCCCAGTCCCTCTCTCTCCCCCAGTCCCTCTCTCTCCCCCAGTCCCTCACTCTCCCCCAGTCCCTCTCTCTCCCCCAGTCCCTCACTCTCCCCCAGTCCCTCTCTCTCCCCCAGTCCCTCTCTCTCCCCCAGTCCCTCTCTCTCTGCCCCAGTCCCTCTCTCTGCCCCAGTCCCTCTCTCTCCCCCAGTCCCTCTCTCTCCCCCAGTCCCTCTCTCTCTGCCCCAG